TCCATTGTACCAATAGCTCTGACGGTACACTGTATTGTTATAAAGGACCTGCGTCTTCGTATTCCAAGTATCAGGGGTGTAAGTCGTTGTGCGTGTGTTGGGGGGGGGAATGTGTGTGCACGCGTGCATGAGTGTGGCTTCGCCTGCTGCTTGCTTTTCAGCATCTGAAAGGCCTGACCAGTCTTGATAAGCACATTTTGCAGCTGTTAACGAGTATCGAATACGACGTTTGAGATGAGTGAGCGACGTGCGATCGGCATGATTATTTCACCCGCAAGAGTCCTACAGATTTCAGGTGTGCATTTTAATGTGTGCTTTAAGAATGTGTTTTAAAAGCTCTTGTCCTTGTGTGTATGTGCGTGTGTGTGTGTGTATGTGTGCATGCGTGTGTGTGTGTATGTGCGTGCATGTGTGTGTGTGTGTGTGTGTGTGTGTGTGTGTGTGTATATGCTTGTGCACGTTTATTTGAGCATTCATGTGTACTTCCTTGTATATTCTCTTCTCTTCTCTGTTCGTCTGTAGGTATATGAAGAGCTGGAGGACGAGCGCTCTGCCCTGACAGTTGTGGCCAGTGTGAAGAAGGATAGCTCTTCTTACATCTGTGGACTGCTCAAGGTACGGACAATGTCTGTCCACCGCCCATTGATAGGCTCCTTTCCTTGAACGACTGCATCATTGTCAACCGCATGGTGTCAGGCTCCTTCTCTTGAATGACTGCATTGTTTATGCCACATACACATCTCGCCCAGCAATACTTTCTGTTGACATGGATCCTGAGAACACACTTATTTCCAGTGGCGCGTAGTTTTCAGTACCCCTGGGCATTTTTATTTCTTCTTTTTTGGTGGCAACTAATTTTCAGTGCCTAGATGGAAAGTATCTAAATGTGGAACCCACTGAAAGAAATAATTCAATGCTACATGCAGTGTGGTGCATCGTCGTGCTCGATCTTATGTCGCTGATGTTGTATTGTTGTTCAGGATGACATCATTCTCTCCATCAACGGCACGGCTGTATCCAGTCTAGATCACGCCGTCAACATCATCCGTAGCAGTACACAGAGGTATGATGTGTTCTTTAAAGTTGTCAGCTTGAGTTCAGCGATTCATCGCATTGCCGTACAGTCCTGTAGGGTTCCGAAGAACTGGGGGGGGGGGGGGGGGGGGGGCGGGTCAGACTCGTAACCTAGGCCATTCATATTTCCATGTGCGTGCATGTGCATGCACTATGGTCTTTGCACAGTTGAGTCACCGTGTATGCATTGGTATGCTGTGCTTGGGGAAATTCTAGCCTGTCTTCTTTGACACAGTGTGTGTGTGTGTGTGTGTGTGTGTGTGTGTGTGTGTGTGTGTGTGTACGTGTGTGCGTGTGTGTGTGCGTGTGTGTGTGTGTGTGTTTGCGTGCGTGCGCTAAACTCATTTCCAGGTCTTTGCAGTTTGAGATCCAGCGACCACCGGCTGGCGTTTACATTAACGTGGTGTACGCCGAGTCATCATCGGCTTCAGCGTCAGCAGCTGCAGCCACAACCCCGACTGGCGGCGGCGGCGGCGCTGCTGCTGCCAGCACAGCCAACGCTGGTATGCAGACATCACAATCTAACGCCAGTATCGGCTCAGCATCCTCCGCACCCGCTACTGCCACTGGCACCACCACTGGCCAAGCAGGCTCGGCATCATCCATATCAGCAGCCATTCCCATGGCAACCAGCGGTAACATGGCGGCAGCAGCAAAAGCAGCACGCGGTGGCGAGTCTCCGTCTCAGGGCCGTCAGATGGCGTCGTCCTCGGCAACGACGCCTACCACCATCAATGTAGCCCGGGCGCGTGTGCTCAGTGATGTCGACGCGGTAAGGGTTGTTGTGCCGTGCTGCTGCCGTGGAGAGCTTTGCTTTCGGGTTGCAGGCTCGCAAGTGATGTGTAATTTATCGGAGCAGTCCAGGAACAATATCTCCTTAGTTTAATTAATTGTGTCGATGCACTTCCAGAATTTGTATTGCATATTATGTATGTTGTGTTATGGATGGTTACATGTCCCTTGTCACACTTACTTGCGACATATGCATCTCTTTCTCTGCAAATACTCATCCCTCGTCGCCTGGGGTCAGGCCAGTCCCTACTGGCTGTCGTGTCACCTCCAACTGCTTCGAACCACTCACTCTCGTTTTTTCATGCCAAGAGTCTCATTTTGTTTGCACGCATGTGTGTGTGTGTGTGTGTGTGTGTGTGTGTGTGTGTGTGTGTGTGTGTGTGTGTGTGTCCATGCATTCAGGATGAGTACGAGATCCCCGTTCCGGAGACCTTCGATATGTCTCCACCTCGCCACGATGCCCCAGGTATGTGTTGTGTTCAACTTACAAGGGCAACACTGGCTCCATGGTGTGGGGTGGCAATGATTCCATGGTGTGGGGTGGCAATGGCTCCATGATGTGGTGTGGTTAGGGCTTATGGCCGTATTATGAGAGGTTGCAGTCCATGTACAGTGCTGTCGGGCGCCGAAGAACGGAGTGCCGAAGAACGGAGCGCCGAAGAACAGAGCGCCGAAGAACGATCAGGCTAGAATTTCACCAAGCACAGAATACCAATGTATACACGAGGACTCAACTGCCCATCGACTGTAATACATGAAAATAAGAACGGTCTAGGCTACGAGGCTGACCCCCAGTTCTTTGGCGACCAAGAGTACTGTATGCAAAACTGCCACCCTGACTTTTGCTGTCTGAGAACCTATAGTCATAAATTCATTGGAAACAATCATGCAACGTGCATGTACTGCCCGTGCAATTATTCCTTGCCACGTGTGTGAGTTTGAAAAAGTCAAAGGATATTCAGCTTAGAAATTTGGCCAGGTTTTACTAGAATAGCACGGGTATGCCAGGGCAAACTGTTTCCTCGGAGCAGGCTGTAGTGTCTGTGCTTAGGATGTGTTCATGGTCTGTGGTGATGAAGAGTGATACTACAGCTGTGCTCAGTGAAATTCAACCTAAAATCCGTATTTGACGCCCTCAATTAATTCCACGGCCCTTGACCTTGCCCTGGAAGTGGTATGCATGTGGCTGGACGTACACATGCACAATACAGTGATGTATTTGAAACTAGTCCAGGGTGCCAGTTTTGCACTTTGGGTTAGATTGCATTGAGCGGCGCAACTGCACATGTTGTGCTAGTTGAAATCTAACCCAAAGTGCACTGGACGTTCCCGACCCTTGATGCCCTGCGAACAAATGTCACTGGACTTACATGTCTCCACTACAGTGCTGTGCTGTGGTGTGCTGTGGTGTGGTGTGGTGTGCTGTGGTGTGGTCGGAACTGCTCCAGGATACTACTACGCACCCAGCATGGCAGTTTGGGCTGGGGTGTTGTCCAGTGGTGCTGTAGACAACATGTGATTCTTTCCTTCAACACGCTCACCTTGATGCCAGTGGTGGTATCATTCACTTGCAGGTCGCCAATGGCCCAGTGCAAGTCTACAGCACCGAATACCGTATTTCCTCGTATCTCTTGGTCTGTCAAGCCAAAGCCTAATATTAGGCTTTTACACATTTATACAAAAATGCGGGAGTTTTGAACTTCAGATGCAGCCATACATGCTCCAATCCATTTGTTTATCAGCTAAGCACTTCGTTCTGGAAGAGAATAAACTTCACCACCAAATCATGAACACAGAATGATCCTCCTCGACTATGCTACGTGCACAACAGCGAACATCAGCAAATTTAGAGCTAAGAACAGGTGCTTCATGAAGCCTAATATGCATTGCACTGATGTAAAAGTGAAAAATCAATCTGACTCCATACCTCAACACCTTTGAGAAAGAAACAGCGGTCAGCACACAAGATTACCTACAAAAAAACATCATAGATGTAGGCCACCATGCATGAGAGATACGGGTGCACTGACATTGCAAAGTATTACAAGTATCACTTCCAGAAATGCAGTCGCAGCAAGATAATGACAAAGGGATTGCATCTCAGTAGACCATGATTATTCTGACTACACAAGTCAATGTCTACAATGGCCAACATCTACTAAGTTACGTATGCCACACTTCTGAGCAGGTGACGTGGAGACCAACATCGCACTGAGCGCATTCAAACTTTGTGCGAGCACGCTTCCCGCCTTCTTTACATAGCACACAGTCGCGTTGAGGAAAGCCGGCTTTGCTGCCTTGGACGGGTCGCAAGGTATGCTTGCCGACAAGCCTTGAAGCTGGTCGTTCTGCCGTTGCTTCCGATGATCTCCGACGCTTAGCACCGGCACTGGACGCGTGCTTGGCCAGACCTGCATTCGCTTCCAGCAGCTGGTTGGCAAGCTTGGTTCATGAAAGCCAGGTGAGTCAACGGTGTTCTGATGTGGCATGGCCAGCCAATCCATGTTTGTGCAGAAGGTAGGCGTTGACTGTGGCCGTGTCTAAGACCCAGTACAAGATCGCATGCCACCGCTTTGTGCACTTGATTGAGCAGCTGTAATAGTTACGGAGCTGGTCAGCGATGTCAACTCCATCCATGAACGCATTGTAGTTATGGATGACGTTGAGCTTGGTCAGCTCAACGTCAACAGTTTCAGTGTTGCCTGACTGCGGGTTGAATCTCACCCTGGGCCTTGTGAAGGTCACATCCTCCAGAGTGTGATGCGCTGTGGTGAGCATGGCAACTGGTTTACTGTCGTAGTAGGTCAGGGCTACAACATTGTTTCGCGCAGCCCATTTCGTTGTGCCTTGCGCGTCTTTCGCCGCTTGCCCTTTCTTGACCGGCTGCTTCACACACGTCTGCACACGATCCGCCCTTGCAGTGCACGTGTAGAGTTGCCCGCGTTCCAGGAGGATCTCAGCAAGTCTCGTGTTCGAGTACAGGTTGTCAACGAAGACATGGTGACCCTTGCTCGGCAGCTGCTTCATCAGTTGCACAACGGCATTGAAAGTCTTGCTCAGGTTGGGCTCCTTCGGAATGAACGGGTCAAACTGGAAATAGAAGCTCCAGGTGTATCGACTAAAATAGTACGGGTCACACAGGGCATACACCAGGAATCCATCGCCAGCGCGCTTAAATTTGATGCGCGACTTGTAAGCGCTCCGGCCCTTGAATGCGATGTCCATCTCATCAAGACTCAGTTGCTTCGTTGGAGAATACAGCTCCTTACACTTCTCCAGGAACACATTCAACATCGGGCGAACTTTGTAGAGTGGGTCGAATTGCGGCGTTCCATGTTTCGACTCGAGGCTGCTGTCGGCAACATGGAGGAAGCGCTTGGTCTGCTGGTATCGGGTCAAGCTCATCCTGCTCTTGATCTTGTCGTTGCCGAACAGCTCTTCGCTGGACCAATAGAGCGTCATGGAGGGGTACGGGTGCAATGCATTGTTGAATAAAACGCCAATCCAAACTTTCAGCTCAGCCACAGTGAGATTGCTCCATGGCCGTGCAGACTCTACATCATTCGGGTGAGCTGCAACCCACTGATAGTAGTACGTGTTTGTTTGCGCACGAATCCTTTGCATCAAATCAGAGGGCAAGTACAAACACAACAGATCCAGGGGTGATTGAAGTGTTTCCACAGACAGTGCAGCCTTCAAGCCCGGATGACCTTCGAAGTCAGGCAGATCGTTCTGCGGCAGTTTTTGGGTCCAGCCAGCATTTTATCTGGCGGGTGGACGACCAGCTGCAGCCTGTGGGGTAGGCTGGGGCAAATCATCATCTGATTCCAAGTCCTCTGCCTCATCACCTCCCTCCACAACTAATTCTTCAGCAAACTCGACATCACTGGTCGTTCCCACCGCTTCTTCTTGGCCTGACTCCATGTGTTACGCAAAGCCTAATATTAGGCTTACTCCAAAACGACAACTGCAGCACCATGAACGACTTCGCAAGCAACGACAACTAACGACTTCTCCTTCGATTTTTTGTCAGGGAAAGCCCTTCTACGTGTCAGTTGGCTGCCATTTTTTTATTTCCATAGAAACCGAGCGTGACTCATGTAGTACTCAGTCGCGTAGTTTCAAAGCCTAAAATTAGGCTTTGACAGATAAATCGCACCTATTTACACAAAAAATCAAGGGTAATAAAGGGGAAAAGAGGACCAATGTGTTTACAATGGAGCATGACTTACTTCTGAAGTGAATATATCAAAACAATATTGCTCAAACCTGAAAATGGAGATGCAACTTATAATCGAGCGCGACTTATAATTGGGGAAATACGGTACTGCCAGTTGCGCTCACTGGAATCCGACCCAAAGTGCAAAGCTGGCGCCCTGGACCAGTTCCGATTACATCGTTGTATTTGTACATGTGTACGTCCATCCGCATTCGTGCCACTTCCCAGGGCGTCAAGGGCCATGCCAGTTGAGGGCGACAGCTTTGCACAGCGGGTCGGATTCCCAGTGAGCGCAACTGTACTACATGTACCTTAGTTCGGATTTCGTTTTTTAACAGAACTGTAGACAGTGTCCTACATGTGTCTCTGTTTTGTGTTTTGGACAACCACTAGTAGTTGTGTGTGGGTTGCTGGGGGATAATCTTGGCCACTAGCCATCTAGATCTTGAAGAGGTGTGTGTGTGTATGTGGGTGTGTGTGTGCACGCGCATGCGTGCGTGTGTGCATATGTTGCGTTTGTACATGTATTTGTGTGCAGAGATGGACCTCGACTCTTGGGCGGTGGTGGATGGGACCGGTGTCAGCCGTCCCGTCATGCAGATCCGCTCATCCCGCGCCTGCCCAGACGTGTATGACCCGGATTCCGGCAGTCTTCCCAAACAGACATGCCCTGTTCCGGCTTGTCCAGTAAGTACGGCATTGTACATTGTACAGGGTGGTTTTTTAATGCTGTTGCTGCTGCTGCTGCTGCTGCTGCTGCTGCTGCTGCTGCTGGTGATGATGATGCTGCTGTTGCTGCTGTTGCTGCTGCTCCTGCTGCTGCTGATGTTGCTGCTGATGTTGCTGCTGCTGCTGCTGCTGCTGCTGTTGTTGTTGCTCCTGCCGCTGCTGCTGCTGCTGCTGTCACTGCTGTTGCTGCTGTTGTTACTGCTGCTGCTGCTGCTGCTGATTCTGCTGCTACTGGTTCGACTTGCCAGGTATCGGCCCTGTTACTCTTTTCGACTGATGGTTTTTTATTGCGAAGGAAGATAGGAACGAGCCACGGCTGTTATGCATGCATAATCCAGCGACATTATGTACGGTACGACATTTTCCCGTCGCCCCAGTGATCCATGATGCTGTCGTACGCGACCTCGCTGCCTTTTTCAAATCTCTGGAAATATTCGGCAAGGTTTCGCCTATGTTTCTGTCGATTCCAGCCGTTTTCTACGCTGGATTCGCGAAGTCTAAGCGAATTCACCTTCCTGCCTTCAAGCTGCGCAAGCAGATATTTTGATCGTCAAAATGCGCAATGGGAAAGTGAAGTTACAATCTTTTTCGTTTCGTTCTTCCTCGTCGTGCCGGCCATTGGCGTTTATCAGAATTGGCTCAAATTCGAGGCTTCCTCCTAAGGGGTGCAGAATTTTTGGCAGCCTTCACTCCAATTTTCATTGAAAGGTTTGTCCTTTTCCTACGTCGTAGTTATATTTTCATTGCCGCCCAGATTATCGTTTTCGTGCCCAAGTCGATTTGCATGGCGTACTTGGACGTCAATTGCAAGTGTTTGCTGATATATGCAGGACGAGTGGAGGTGTGTTCTCCTGCCTCAATGTCTAACGAAGACCCCGGTTTCGTCCGCCATAGGAGGGATCCGTGCATGCTTCGTTCTGGATGTTAGCAAGTACGAATCAGACATGCATCCAATGAACATTTTTTGAAATTCATGCTTTCGAAATGTATGTAGAAACAGGACATTGTGTAGAGATTTTAAATGTCAGAGATGCAAGATTCCCCATCTGTCCGAGGCCTTACGTGTACACACATAGGCATGGTTTTTTTTGTAGTACTAGTGGTACTGCAGATTTAGGCCACGCACAATGTAGTCTTTCGACGATCCTGTTGAAAAGCACACACTTGCATGCGTAAAGACCATACTGAAATACTTCAAGTAATTGAACAACAACAAACGACAACCATGATGCAGCTTATATATCTTGCACTACATCAGCACTAAGCACAGCATGGCACTCAGGACAGGGCCGCAGCCGCTGGTGATGGCCGTACCCGGTTTTACCACTCTCGGCGTTCATGATAATTACATGTAACATGTTCAATATGCAAATGATTATGTAGAACACTAATAGGCTATCCTCGCACACTCCTCACTAGAGTCCCTCCTAAACTGCTTTCTTCTTTAGTGAGGACAACTGTACAAGCTGCATTATGCAGAGTATCTGTTGCTACCGGAGTGTGAAGCTGAAACAACCAGGTTATTATTCTGATGCGAATAAGATACACAGCATCACGCATCTTCATGACCGTGCCATTCCTATGGAGCTGGCTCAGGGCTCGATGGCAATGCAGTTCACCTGCTGAATTGACAGATGTCCATGAATTCATTTTAAAATAACAAGTCGGTCAAGTGAGAATTCAAGTCGGCAGGATTAGCGCAAGCCCCCACGTAGGGAGCAACACACAATTCCCCAAGTATCGCCGAAGTCGCATCAACCTCTTCTTCACATTAATTACAATACGGCGAATTAAATCAAAGCTGTAAGAAGCTAAATAATTCTGTGACTTGAAACAAGCATTGATAGAAGAATAACACCTATAGCAGGTCCATGTGCTTTAAAAGTTGGAGCGCAAATAGAGGATATCTTCCAGTCTCCAACTGGAAGCGTTGCGGGCAACCAACTCCGCCATGCTATGACACCTGATGATGTATTGTGGTACTTTGCTTATCACTGCAAGCCCACTGGTTGACTTGATCATCACCCATTGCTTCTTTCATGACGAAGATCAGCAGTGCAACTGTGGCAATAAATATCACCGCCTCCAATGCCGCACTTATTGGAGGAGCACATTCTACTGGAAATGAAACACTTCAAAGTTCAGTTAGTGCTGATCTGGAATAGTATGGAGAGTAGGGTGGTGAAGGGTTACACGCAAATTCAACATCCTTGCCGATGAGCACTGTGGAGCATGTGCAATGCAGAAACTGCTGTCCAATAGTATACAGAATCTGATTTCCAGCAATCCTAAAATCCTCACATTGATCCCAAGGTGAAGAGCACACGCATGAAGAGACGTACATGTAGCTGCTATGTCATCAACTTTGCGTTGAGAGTGTAGCAGACGATCGAATTCTATCCTTCTCCTTCTCCAAGATGAATTGCAATCAGTCTAACGATTTGTTTGTGCTCTTTTCTTATGCACGGAAATCTGGCTGTAAGCTGTCCTCAGGGGAGAACATGTTCTAGAATAAGAGCAGTGGGGTTCCATCTGTTCACGTCATGATGGTAGTGAGTCAAGCAAACGTGCCCACTTCTTGTTCCGAAGTTTCAAACACAACTAATTGCATGATGCACCGGCTACATTACTAGAATTTATTACACTGCATCGTCTTGAAAACAATTCCTGTATTGACTCCAGGACATACTAACTTCAGTACTTCGCCGAAGGGAGGCTTCCAGGTCTTGGTAGACTTATTCTCCTCCAGCATGGCCTCATACGACCTCTCCAAGGCACGAATCCATCGCCCCAAAAACAAAAACTTTCTTCGATAAATTTGAAAAATGTGCAGAAAGACTGCATGCGTCGGCACGCTGTGCGTACGCGAGCTGTTGCGATGCGGGTTGCTACGGTACGCCGCCATATTGATAAATGTCGCACTCGGAACAGCCGTGGAGCATGGAAAGTTGTCAGCCGCACAAAGTTGTGTGCGTGATTTTCAGGCAATCTCGATGTGTGTGTGTGTGTCTGTCTGCCTGTCTGTCTGTCTGTCTGTCTGTCTGTCTGTCTGTCTGTCTATCTGTCTGTCTATCTGTCTGTCTATCTGTCTGTCTCTCTATCTGTCTGTCTGACTATGCGGTGCTGTGTATTGTTTTGTATGTTTCAGGATCCAGGCTGGCGGGAAACGTTCCCATTCTCTCTTTCATCAGAAGACCGCTACCTGAGCGTATGCGTGTGGGCTAAGCTGGAGAATAGTCGCAATAACCTGCTGATTGGCTATGTAAGATTGTGTGTGTATGTGTGTGTGTGTGTGTGTGTGTGTGTGTGTGTGTGTGTGTGTGTGTGTGTGTGTGTGTGTGTGTGTGTGTGTGTGTGAGTGTGCGCGCGCGCCAAGTGTGAATAGCAACTGAATAGAGCGCTTGTCAGTTGACAAACCCCCTTTTCGTTATAATTATATTGCAAGTTTGTATCGCTGGTACATGGCATACGTGCAACGCTAGAAATGATGCGGGAAAGCAGGAAAACCATGTCGCGTTGTTGGGACCAGTACACACATGCATTCACCTCCCTAATAGCTGTCTGGAGGCCTGGCGGGTCTGCAATATCTCAAGGTATCAACGGAATTGGCCTTGTTATGGTGGTGGTTACGTGTAAGTGGAGTGGGTTGACCAAAAGCACATTGTGTAGTAACTGAGAATTCACTGATTTCAACGTATTGGCAAAGTTTGTCGCTAGTTTCTCTCTCGGAACCTTTCTATTGCAGAACTTTAAAGGATGTATTTAATATTAATGTAGGATCCTTTTGGAAATCAGTCCAGGTATGGGTTTCGACTTGCTGACACTACTATTTCTGGTTGCTGATGCTGATGCTGATGCTGCTGTTGCTGCTGATGTTGCTGCTGATGTTGCTGCTGATGTTGCTGCTGATGTTGCTGCTGATGTTGCTGCTGATGTTGCTGCTGCTGCATGTACAGGCTAGTATTCCTCTACACGACATAGCTGTGGAATGTGCGGCAGTGAATGTTGGGCGTCACGAACAGTGCTACGTTTTAATTCCCGGAATTCATCTCACCGCTAACGCAAAGTAAGCATGTGTTTGTGCACGCGCACACGCGCGCGCGTGTGTGTGTATGTGTGTGTGTGTTCGGGGGCAGGTTGGGACCCAAACCCGGAAGGAAATGTGGTTGTCCATGCTGCTGCTGCTGCGGCTGCTTTGCCTGTTGAACCTCGTTAGCTGCATCTACAGTACTGGCAAATGAAATCCGACCCCCTGAGCGGTGCGTTCACATTCTAGTGGTCTCTATTTCGTAGTTTTACAATCCCGTGTTGGGTCTTTGCGATGTGAGCGCACCGCTCAGGAGTCGGATTTCAGTTGCCAGCACTGTGTATTGCATAGACTGTTGCACATGAAGGTAGGAATGGCCTAGGCTACGAGGCTGACCCGTGTGCGTGTGTGTGTGTGTGTGTGTGTGTGTGTGTGTGTGTGTGTGTGCGTGTGTGTGTGCGTGTTCATGGCGTTCGTGCATGCGCGTATGTGTGTGTACACATGTACATGTGTGTCCGTGTGCATGTCTCTACGTTTGTATGTGCACGTGCACTTCTCTAGCCGTGCCGCCCTTCGAGCCGCCGGAGCCATCCAGCCCGGCAAGCTACCGACCAGTGCTCGTACATGGTATGAACGTGAGTACAGCGGTGATGTCCGTCTTGTCTTCAGTCACTTGCCATTGCCGGCATCTGCAAGTGCGTCAGCTGCGCCTACTCCGTCACCGCCCAGATCAAGTGCCGCTTCACCGTGCAGTGGTATGTGTGTAGCTTCTCTGTGTAATGGTATGTGTGTAGCAAGAAGGAGCCACGGGTGTGTGTGTGGGGGGGGGGGGAGGGGGGGGGGCATGCGTGCGTGCGTGCGTGTGTGTGCGTGTGTGTGTGTGTGATCCCGGTAGCCTAATCGGTAGGGCGCTATCCCGGAAAGACAGGTGTGCTGGGTTTGAATCCGGCTTGTGGATCCTTGTTTTGCAGCCTGTGTACTGTACATGTATCCGTAGCAACTGCTCAAAGATGGTTACCTGGTATTCCTTTTGCTATGTTTCCTACAGAACCAAGTTCTCCGCCGCGACCTACCGGTCGCAGGACCAGCCAGGCAACGTCCTCTCACACTCCCGAGAAGCCATCCAAACCAAACAGCGATACCAGTAGCAGCACATCGCACTCACCACCATCCACAACAGCTGCTGCGACGGCGGCAGCAGCAACAGCAGCAGCAATGTCATCATCGCATGCAAACCGGTCGGGTACGCCGTCACCTCACGGCCAGGCATCCTCCTCACCCATCACAAGCACAGCTGCTGCAACATCATCAACAACAACGACGCCATCGGCAGCAATGATGTCGTCATCACTCAGCACAATGACATCAATGACATCGGCATCCATTGCCGGCGGCGATGCGACGTCATTGCTGACCAGATCCGAAGGGGTAAGTAGTGCAATGGGATGTGTGTGTGTGTGTGTGTGTTGCCGGGCAGTGGTCACTGCACGATATGAAGAAAAAAATTACTACTACAAATTACTACCGTAGTACAGTCAACTTGGCTAATAACGACTAGACTGCGGATATAACGACAATTTGGAATAACGACAGAAATGCCATGCCCAGAGCAAAGTCCCATCCAACTGTAATACATATAATGGGACTTTGGGTATAAGGACACTTCGTGAATCAGGACACTTTTCTGATGGCCCGCCGAGTGTCGTTATTCGCAAAGTTGACTGTACTCGCTTGAGACTTGATCGGACTAAGTTTGCACATGCGTAGGAAGTAGGAACACCACCACCATCCGTGATCAAAAGGCAGATGCAGCTCCTTAAGCAGTGGGAGGGTGATACACACACACACACACATATATACATGTACTTGTGTATGACTGTGTTGCTTTAATCCTCTCTACTGTTGAACCTGTACTGTAGAATACTGATGGGTGTTTAATAGTGTATGTATGTGTGTGTGAGAGTGTGTAGCTGTGTGAAATATAACAGAACTGTCGTTGGCCGCTAGCCTGCAGAGCGTGCTGCGTACCGTACTCAACCGACCTACCCCATGTCTGTTGGCCCCTCGTATGAGGGGACATGTGACCGTTTGGTACGGCAATGTTCAGGACAGGAGTGTGTGTACGTGTGTGTATGTGTGTGTGTGTTAGTGGCGGTCAATTCATCAGTCTTGCGAGCTGTTGAATGGTGTAATCCCAGCACAAGTTGCTATGTCTAACGTAGCTGTTCGCTATCATCGCTTCCGCGATGGGCAGGTCTGAGGTCTGAGGTGTGGCGGGGGGGGAGGGGGGGGGGGGGGTGTTAGTGTGTGTGTGTGTGTGTGTGTCGCTCTTTGGCATTGCATGTATTGTACTGACAGTTCCCATGCCCTTTGCTCACAGTGTATCTGTGTCCTGTTTGTCTGTCACATTGTGCCTCTGCCACCATCACCCCAACCTCCACCACCACTTCACACTGCAGGCACACGTACCGACAAGCTCCCACGGCATGCGGGCCCGTGCCAGTGCCATGACATCATCAATGACATCATCGGCATCGCCGGCTGCCGCCCAGCACACGGGCATGCTGCCGTCCAATCCCCTACCACCGAACACCAGTGGGAATGAGTCGGAACACGTGCAGCGTAATGGCAATGACAGATCGTCTCCATGTCCATCTCCCGGTCCGGGATTCCGAGACTCGCCCCAACCTGGTGATAGCAATGTGCGTAGGAAACCTGCATCAGCGCTTGCTCAGACGTACACGAACTCTCCGTCGTCACGCCACACGCCTGGCTCTCTTCGCCGGTATGTTTGTGTGGTTGGCTACATGCTCTAGTTGTATGTATGTATGTATGTATTCTTTAGTTTACTTCGCAAAGTCAAACGGGATCGTTGCCCAATAATATTATAGCGAAGGGATGTGTGTGTATGTGTGTGTGTACGTGTGTGTGTGTACGTGTGTGTACGTGTGTGTGTGTGTACGTGTGTTTATGTGTGTGTATATACTGGCTCTGTCTACCGGACATAGAGCACGACACGCAGCCTGAGGACCTTAGGCTTAGACACTTGTCTATATACAGTATAATGCGTGTACATACCGTCGTGGACATGGAAATCCGGTCGCACGTCTAGCGGCCCCAGAGCGCTGGCCATGCAGCCGAGGATAAGCGGTACACACATGTATTTATGCGCTGCAGCGCGCTGGTCGCATAGGATCAGCATGTGCACTGCACGCAGCGTTCTGTACGCGCTGAGGGCGCCGGCCCCGGTCAATCGACTGGATTTCCATGTCCACGACAGTAGTTGATTAGTGTGTACATGATTGGGTATACATGTATGTGTACACGTGTATTCATACACTCGCCCACGGAGAATGGGGTAAGACTATCGGGTGTAAAGGTTCGAACAATGGTACAAGACTGAACAGGGTGATAGATGTTCACTGGTGTGACCCCCCACCCCCGTCCATCTAGGCTTCTGACAGCATTGCTGATAATTATGTGTTGCATGCAAGGTGTCTAGTTCTCAGCACTACTACTACTACTACTATTGACAGCTGCCAGAAATGGCCACGCCGCTCCCCAAAGGGAGGTACTGTCAGAGAGGTTAGGGGGGAGGAAGGCAATGCTCCAAGTGGCGTTCCAGATCTTGCCGCCTCCGGAACCGTCGGTTGTGGCAAACTTGGCAGTGAAACTTGAATTGTTGGCGTTCAGCCACAGTAGGGCGCTTTGGACAGGTTCCACAACGGTGACGCTTGAGACCCGCAGCCGATTTAAATGAACGCTGACAGTTGGTGCAAGTTACACCAGGAACAACAAGAGGAGCAGGGGCAGGGGCCGGCGGCTGGTCGACATCGCCTAGCCGACACTTATGCACCGCAAAGCCTCCTCTGCTACGTAGCCATCGGTTGCATGTTGGACACTGTACTGATCCAGGCTGCTCCGATACCGGGAGCTGACGGATTGCTGAACACTTGTGCCGGACCATGTCGGAACTACGGCGGAACAGACGGTTGCAGGTTGGGCACTCGATGCTCTTCGGGGCGGGTTCCTTGTCCTCACCTGCTGCTGTCACCACTCCACGCCACTCTCCACGATCGCTTGCCAACTCAAACCAGTTACGCACTCCAGCCACGGATAGGTCCGTGTGAATGGTGTCCTTCCAGCGACGACGAGGTCCACAGAATGGCCGAGACTGAGGGAGACAGGCAAACAGCAACTGCTTCGGTACTCTGGTGTCATCAAGACGAGCCAGGTGCCCAAGCCACTCCAACCGTCTCTGCTGCACCATGCGTGACAATGGTGTGGGATCACCCCACTGTGCTCGCAGTTCCTGTGAAGAGATGCGCTGTTCCCACTGTCGGCCTCGCGATACGCCAAGGATGGAGCGAATGTTGGCATGGTGAAACCGGTCCATTCTATCTAAATCTGCCTTCAACGGCGTCCAGCATTCTGAACCATACAGAACCGTTGACAGTACGCAAACGACATACAGGTGGCGCCTGGTAGGGAGGTTCAGGCTCCGGTCATGTAGGATGCGCCGAAGACCACCAAAGGCCCCTGCACCCTTTGCTAGACGGCTCCGAATGTCCGCTTGCGACCGCGAGTCTGGAGTGATGGTGGAACCAAGATAGGGGAATGAGGTGACTGCTTCAACCCTATCACTGCCAATGACCAAATCAGAGCAATCAGCAGGGCAAACTCCGAAACCTGCAACGAGAAGCTTGGTCTTGGTCATGCTCACTGTGAGACCCAAGCTGGATGCGACCTCACAAAAGGCACACAGGGATTGATCGGCTGCGTTGCGAGTTGTAGCGAGCAGTACAGCATCATCCGCAAACTCGAAGTCATCAGCATGGCCGGACTCGGAGTGGGGACGACGCCTAGTGACACGAGGGAACAGCTGGCCATCAATTGTGAAGCTGAAGTCCACACCAGACTCTATTCCACGCTCAACGAGAAGGGATCGCCAACGCTCAATAACTAAGCCGAAGTACAAGTTAAACAGTACAGGTGCCATAACGCACCCTTGGCGCAGCCCATTCTTGACAGATATCGGATCCGTGCAACCACCGGCAACGCGAACGCAAGCTGACATGTCTGTATGGAATGATTTGATGATGGCCACAGTCGGGGGCGGCACACCCAGCCGCAGCAATGCCTGCCAAAGAGCTTCGCGAGGGACAGAGTCGTATGCTTTGCGGAGATCCACAAATACGCAGAAGAGCTTCGATCGATGTTCGTACGACTTCTCGACAAGTTGACGGACAGAGAAGATGGCGTCCGCACAACCACGGTGCCGCCGAAACCCGCATTGGGATTCAGGCAGTTCCGCCTCAGCAATACCTTGCAATCGGTTTTGCATGATCCGAGCAGCCAACTTGCCGACAACCTCCAGCAATGCGATCCCTCGCCAATTATCGCAGCGAGAGAGGTCGCCCTTCTTTGGAATCGGTACCAGCAGTGCATCGCGCCAGTCCTGGGGCACGCAACCCCCCGACCAGACAGATTGGAGTAGGTCCAGGAGGAGTGGATGGAGGACAGGCACACCAACCTTCAGCAGCTCCGGCACAATCTGTGACATACCACCAGCTTTGCCATTCTGTAGGTGTCTAATTGCCTGAGTCAGCTCATCCTCCGATGGTGGCAGTGAGAGGGAGTCCTCGACCTCACGCTGAGGGATAAGTTGGAAGACATGCGGATCGTACACACTGCAGACATTCAAGACACCCGAGAAATGCCCATGCCATGTGCCCTGCTGCTCCTGAACAGATTCGCAAAGAACTCCATCGCATTGCGGATGGATTGGACAGACAGGGGTTGCAAGCCCCCAAAGCAGCGTTGCATGTGGCGAATGGCAGACCAGACAGCTTTGCCACTGAAACGTCCACGGTGCACCACCGCCGCTTTGTCCATCAACCAAGTTGTTTTTGCCTTCCGGATACCAGTACGAGCCCGGCCACGCGCTTCTTTGAATGCCCGGTGATCAGAGTCCCTGCCGCTTCTCAGCCATTGGCTATACAGGGTATTACGAGACTCCAGTAGAGGCTCCAATACAAGGGCATTGTCACGGAACCAATCTGGCATCCGCCGCTTGTCCCGACCAACCACCTGCTCCGCCGCGTCAACAACAGCCGACTTCACGGTACTCCACTTACAGTCCACAGACGAGGCGCGGTCATACGTGGCTAAACGAGATTCAAGACTAGCACAGTACTCAGCACGTACAGTAGCCACACGCTCAGCCTCCTCTTCACTCATGAATGGCTTCCGATTGAATTGGTGAACAGCAAACTTCCGCGGCCTGGAACGTGCATCATGATGGTACCGTTGCTGCACAACGTCAGGTAGCCGGTATTTCATGCGGACAAGACGGTGGTCTGTGCTACACTCTGCAGTGCGCATCACTTGACAGTCCATGCAACGTTTACGGTGTTGTTGGCGTACGAACACATAATCTATACAATGCCACTTCTGTGATCCAGGGTGTTGCCAGGTGTACATGTGAATGCGTTTCTTGGGAAACAGTGTGTTACATACTGTGAGCTGTTGACACGCCAAGAATGTGAGTAGTCGATGACCAGCATCGTTCACATCACCAACACCATGTGATCCATGCACTCCCTGCCACATCTCTAGTTGCTGTGGGCCAAAACCAACACGAGCGTTGAAATCCCCCAGGACGATGACGTCATCAGCAGAGTTGACATCGCTGAGAGCAGACTGGAACTGAGCAAAGAACTCTTCCTTGTCAGCATGGGGGGATCGAAACGTAGGAGCGTAACATGAAATCACTGACATCCACCCGTGCTCAAATCTCAACCTGGCCGTCACGATGCGCGACGAGACGGGCCTCCACTGGCAGCCTGCACGTTCAAATGCCTGCTTGGCCCTCCGACGCAGAACCAGCGCAACACCCTCGCCACGACGAAAATGTTCGTCAGGTACGGGGCGACCAGAGGCGAGTACAATCGAATCGCCGATGTTGAAAGAGTCTCTCCCAAACCATTTGGTTTCCTGCAGGCCAGCCACTTCCACGTCAAACCTGGACAGCTCACGGATAACCAAGTCGATCTTTCTGTCCTCCACGACGGGCACAAAATTCAAATTTTCAAAATTCACTCGTCTCTTTGCCGTCTCGACCGGTCCGTCATTGTTGACCAGAGTGCGGACGTTCCAAGATCCAAAGGCCAATGTTCGCAGCCTTCCTCTCCTCCGCCTTCCTGACAGTACTCTCTGAGCTTCGCAGTTTGGAACCATTCGGGGGGTCAGCTACACCACCGCGAATGGAGAGACGAGGACGACAACGGTCGTGACAGAAAAGAAACTGCCCTGGCGACCGCGCCGCGGAACCCTCGCCCCAGGAAATTTAGTAACACGCCAGGGGCGACTCTGGTGAACCCAGAGCCACCCCGTGGCCTAAGACTATAGTACTAGTAAGAAGAACGACGGAAAAAACTCAGATAAATCGGAGCTAAAAAAAGTGCAACCGTCCCCTTCAAACACAAGGACACACACTGTGTTCTCAGCACACACACACACACACACGCATCTTTGTCATGTCCTGGTTCCTGGTTGCCTTGTCATCAAGCAGAGGATCCGACCAATCGCATTGACAAATTGATTGTACATGATGTACTGTATGCGTTGTGTACCCAACATAACCCACAACATAAGCCACAGGAAACCTTGACCTCTCCGCATAGAGCTTGGGAAAGAAAACAAGCTTACTGTAAAGTCATGTATAAAGGCCGCAGCGTGTATGACTTTTTGGGGGAAATTTTGCAGGCTGCTATACGAGACGCTTCTATACAAGACAGGTATTTCTATGTATGCCAGCACTGAAGCCAGGCTTATGTGCCGACAGTGTATCTTGAAAATCAGGCTTCTATTCAAGACAAGCTTCTATATGAGATGGCTTTAATACAAGACACACTACGGTATGTGGTTTATGGAGATGTCTGTCTGTGCCGCTATGTGTATATTTGTGTATTGTCACAGATCGACTGTCAGCCACGACTTTTTGGCCATCACTATTCCAGTGCCGACATCCTGCATCATTTGCGGAAAGAAGGTATGTTGTGTGGTGCTGGTGCTGGTGGAGGTTGAGGTGGTGGTGCTGCTGCTGCTGCTGCTGGAGGTTGAAGTGGTGGTGGTGGTGGTGCTGCTGCTGGTGGAGGTTGAGGTGGTGGTGGTGTGTTCTGGAGGTGTGTTCTGGAGGTGTGTGCAGGAGGGGGGGGGGGGGGTGATGGGGTGGGCTGGAGGGGGGGGGGGAGAAGTGATGGTGGGAGGGGGGGGGGGGGGAGGGGGGAAGATGGTGGGGGGGGTGTGGGCAGTGGTGGTGGTTGTGATGGGGTGGGCTTGTTTTTGGTTGTTTGTAGACGGCAAAGAGGACAGTGACCTGTGTCCATCTACTTTTGATTGTTGTGCTACCATCACTATGGCTGATGCAGTGATGGTATTGTTATACTGTGGCTGTCATTGCTTCTTTGGTTATTTCTGTCCTGTGCGTGTGTGTGTGTGCGTGCGTGTGTGTGTGCGTGCGTGTGTACGTGCGTGTGTACGTGTGCATACTGCCGTGCACATACTATAGATCTTCAAGAAGCGGTGTCAGCGTTGCCAGGGCTGCATGGGAGCAGCTCATACTGAATGTGCTATCTCCAGCAACACTGCAGTATGTCCACGGTGAGTAGTAGTAGTAGTAGTAGTAGTAGTGGTGGTGGTGGTGGTGGTGGTGGTGGTGGTGGTGGTGGTGGTGGGTGGTGGTGGTGGTGGTGGTGGTGGTGGTGGTGGTGGTGGTGGTGGTGGTGGTGGTGGTGGTGGTGGTGGTGGTGGTGGTGGTGGTGGTGGTGGTGGTGGTGGTGGTGGTGGTGGTGGTGGTGGTGGTGGTGGTGGTGGTGGTGGTGGTGGTGGTGGTGGTGGTGGTGGTGGTGGTGGTGGTGGTGGTGGTGGTGGTGGTGGTGGTGGTGGTGGTGGTGGTGGTGGTGGTGGTGGTGGTGGTGGTGGTGGTGGTGGTGGTGGTGGTGGTGGTGGTGGGGGTGGTGGTGGTGGTGGTGGTGGTGGTGGTGGTGGTGGTGGTGGTGGTGGTGGTGGTGGTGGTGGTGGTGGTGGTGGTGGTGGTGGTGGTGGTGGTGGTGGTGGTGGTGGTGGTGGTGGTGGTGGTGGTGGTGGTGGTGGTGGTGGTGGTGGTGGTGGTGGTGGTGGTGGTGGTGGTGGTGGTGGTGGTGGTGGTGGTGGTGGTGGTGGTGGTGGTGGTGGTGGTGGTGGTGGTGGTGGTGGTGGTGGTGGTGGTGGTGGTGGTGGTGGTGGTGGTGGTGGTGGTGGTGGTGGTGGTGGTGGTGGTGGTGGTGGTGGTGGTGGTGGTGGTAGTAGTAGTAGTAGTAGTAGTAGTAGTAGTAGTAGTAGTAGTAGTAGTAGTACTCTATGTGTATAGGGTTTTCAGGACCGCCGGAAGCAGTTTTTGATTGGTTCGGTAGTATCATGGCCGCTCATACAGTTTGTGTTATGGTATGGCGGGTACACCTGCCCTCCACAGTAGGAAACCTGTGTGGGTGGCTGAAAAGTTGGTCCGTT